ATGTAATAATAATGCTCAGCAATGTCTGCAGAGCCTTTTCCCAAGTTCAGCTGAAAGAAATCCTCTACACCAAATTACTGAGCAGCCTCTTTTACAGGGCCCTGCACCCAGCAGGAGGCAGCACTTTACTGCAAAACAACCCAAAACTTCCTAAATATGTCTGTGACCTCAGGTAAAACTCGATTTGGAGGTGAATTAAACCGGAAAAAAATGAAAATAACAACCCACGGTGTGGTGCCTGCCTGCAGCAGCTCTGACAGAGGCAGTGCAGGATTTAGGGGTGGCTCAGCCCCTCCAGGGAGAGGCTGGGAAGCTCAAGGGTCTTCCCAAGGGAAATTCCACGTTTTCCTGCACTAATTATAAATGGGACTGTACTAATAAAGGATTATATCAGGTTCAAAATGTGCTCATTCTGATTTTGTGGCCCTTTTGTGCCTGCTGGTGTTGCTGGAAGAAAGAATTTCTGACCCTGTTGTGCAGCAGAACAAGACTTGTGGTGATTCTACCCTCAAACCATCTCTGCTCTGTGTCACAGGGGAGCCCCAGAAGGGATCAGCACAATCCAATTGTTCCCTTAAAGCCCATTTGCATCCATCATCATCAAGAGAAAAGTCACAATTTACTATAATTGCCATTTTTACTGTGCTGGAGCTGAATAGAAAACCTGGATGGCTCAGCCAGATGAAAGCACCAGAATCTCAGCCAGACATGGAGCACTTCTGGCTCTCCCATGCTCCCAAAAAATAACCAGATTAACCAAAACAACCCCACCAAAATAACCAATCTTGGATTTCAGACCGATGGATTGCACAGGCTGGGCTCCCCCAAATTTTTGATTGTCCCTTCCCTCGATGCCTGGAGCAGGACCAGGCTGTCCCTAAAGCTCTTGGCTCCTTTGGGATAACACCAAAGCCACGTGCTGGACACTCACCTGCTTCCCTTGGCAGCCAGAGCAGCACCTGCAGGGAGCTGGCACCTCCTGAACCCCAACCCATGTGAGCAGGCATCCTGCTCCTGGGGCTCTCCTCAAAGCATGGCTTTCTCCAGGTCACCACCCAGCCTCCAGCACATCCAGGAGCCTCATGGATCACAGCCAAGCAATGTTGTTCTTTAAGCTGGGCTTTTCCTGTGGTCTGTGAGCCAAAAATGTGCCCACCCAGCACAATTGAGCCACAATTCCCTCGTTCCACCTGGAACAAATCCTGCTCATCCCTGTGATCCCTCTGCCACCTGCACATCACTGCCTAAAGCCCTGCAGCTGCAGCTGTGTCAGCACAGGGAGCCAGGCACTCTCCTCTCCATGCTCACCTCTGCAGGAGCTCAGAAATCCTCCTTAGCTCAATGATTAATGGGAATATTCCAGACACTTGTGGCAAAGCCCAGCTGACCACTCTGCAGGGCTGCTTTTCCCCAGCCATATTTTGGGATGGGAGGGAGTGAGAGCTGTGTAACCTCACACATCAGCCCAAATAAAGGAGAGATGTCTCCATCCCAGGCCTGTCAGGGTTTAGGCTGCCCAAACAATCTGTGAGTGTTTAACAAGCTGCTGAAAACCACTGGTGGACTAAAGGCATTTCTGGCATTTCTGGATTTCATATCAAGCTGTGTTCCCTAACCCAAAATGTAATGATCAAAACAAGATGCACCTCTCTGCAATGACCAGGCTCGGTGGGAGCTTTAAAACATCAGCACAGCCCAAAGGTGTCAGTGGCCACTGTACTTCCATGATTTCCCTGGTGCTGAGGTTGTCCTGCTCCCTGGGCAGTGGGACACACAGGGACCCCGTGGGACCAGCAGCCATCCCTGGAAATGTCCAAGGCCAGGCTGGACGGGACATGGGGCACCGTGGGACAGTGGAAGGTGTGGGATGGGGTGGGACAGGGTTGTTTTGAAGGTTCCCCTCCAACCCAAACCGTTGTGGGATTGTGTGACCCTCTGAGCTGAGGCACAGCTGTGGCCAGCTGGACAAACAGACTCTGCTGCTGCCTGAACACCACCTGCACTGGAGCAAAGGATCCTCACACTTGTGTCCTTCAAAGCAAAAACAACACCCCTGGAATGTTTCCCCTCGTGCTGGAGGCTCTGCAGCACAGCCAGGCTGGGCTCTCTGGGCTGGAATCTGTTCTGTCACCCTGCTCTGTCTCCTGTTGTTTGCCCCCAAGGAAATCCTGGTCCCACCACAGCAGACCTGGAGCCTTTGATGGGAGCGTTTGTGGTGACGCAAAGTTATCCTTCCCAAAGTTATCCTTCCCAAAGTTATCCTTTCCAAAGTTATCCTTCCCAAAGTTATCCTCTCCAAAACTCCCTGCAGACAAAACCCACAGACACATCTTTTCCATGAAGAGCTGCCAGTGAAAACCAGGCTTTTTTTATTTTTTTTACTCCTAACCTGGAGGCATTGGCGTGGCTGCTGCCAGCCCGGATTTTCAGTGACCTTTAGCCACGCTCTGGGTGGTGAAACCACATCCAAGGCAGTGGCTGAGCAGTGCCTGGGGGTGGCCACTGAGCCCAAGGAGCCACCTGCTCTGGCACTGCCATGAAGGGCTGGGGAGGAGCCCTGGGGTCCCAGTGTCCCTATCCCTGCCCTCCAGGACAGACAGAGCCACCGCGGGATTTTCTTGCTGAGCAGGAGCTGGAAGGGAAGGGCAGGGGCAGAGATCAGGAGGCAAATCTTGGCTCCCAAACAATAGCTATTGTGTAAATGTATTTTTACTTCTGTCCTAAACAACAACAACAAAAAAAAGTGATTTTGGTGTGTCCTAAAAGTTGCAGTTACTTAAATACCAGGATTTTCATGGAATCAGAGAAGGGTTTGGGTTGGAAGGGACCCAAAGACCATCTTGTTCCATGGGCAGGACCATCCCTCACTGCACCAGGTTTGTGCAAACCCCATCCAGGCTGGCCCTGAACACTTCCAGGGCTGGGATATCCAGACAAGACGGACACAACATTTATATTACAGCGTCCACGTCTGGAGAAGCAAAAAAAATCTAAATCTTGTGATGTCCTGAGACAATGTGAGAGCTCTCAGGGAGATCCCTGGAGGGGCTGGGACTGGGATCACTGGGCTCTGAGGGAAGGAAACACAGAAAATTTGGTCTGTAAAAGTTGTTTTGGATGTCACCTTCATCAGTGAACTCATCCTAGGGTGGCTGAACTGCAGGATGTAATTCTGGAACTCAAGGTGATAAATTCCAAGTTCTCACCTATAAATCAAATTCATTCCCCACACTCTCAGTGGTTTGTCCTGAGGCCAAGGTGAGGTTTGTTGGTCCAGGTATTGAAAATTAAATGGATGAAATCTCCTTTCCTCATCTCCCATTTTCCTGTGGAAATCTCCCATGGTGTGTCTGTCCTCACCCTTGCCCTGCTGCTGTTCCACGGTGGGTTCCATATTTTCTGTGACTAAATTCAACTTTAACAAGGCTCTTCTGATCACTTTGCCACATTCCAGACCTGACACTCACCTCCATGTTTTACTTGATGCAAAGATTTCCAGGAATGTGAACATTTCTCATTATTCCCCAGAGCATTGGGAAGTCTGGAGCCACTTTTGAGGTTTTTTTTTTGGTTTTACTCTCCACCCTGCTGAGCTCACCTGTGGTCTCACCATCTTCCTGCAACTCCCCTGGGGCCACCACCATAATGGGAAGTGATTAAAAATTATAGGATAAAAATTGTGGTTCCCCCAAGCAGGGGGACACAGGGATCCCCAGGAGTGCAGGGGGACCCAGAGCAAGGAAACCTTTCCAGTTCAGCTGATTTCCCTCTGTCCCTGGCAATTCCTTGCCCTGGCACAGCTCCAGGCTTTCTCCCCAGAGGGTTTGAGGCTTTTTGGATGGCTCAGGTTGAGAATTCCCCCTGTGCCTGTGAGGGCAGCAGAGCTCAGGCACCCCCCATGCTGCCAGAAATGAATTTTTTTCTCTCATTTTAATTTAGGTAAATGCTCATCCCCAAACTTACCTGTCAGGATAACAAAGGGCAGGAACACTCAGTGCTGGGGAGGATCAAATATTTGCATTTCCTGGGACGAGATTCCCAACTTTGAGCCAGAAACCTGTGGAGCAGCCACACCAAGGGAGCAGGAACCAAACCAGGCTGGCACATCCCTCAATCCCACTCCCCCCACAGCTTTTCCATCCTCTTCCTCACACATTCCATGGGGTAAGGCCAGGAACATCCCTGCCCCAGCCCCACTGCAGCCACTGAGTGGAAGTTACAGGAAAAAGAATTTTTTTTTCCTAATTATTCCGCATTTCTGGCAATATTTTTTTGCCAAAAATACATTTTAGTAGGTTGGAAAATTTCAAATTTTATTTCTACTCAGCCTTGAATGATCTCTGAGCTCATTTCTTCTCATTCTTTTTTTTGCTCCCCTCTTTTCCTTTCAGTCTTCTACAGCACTTCCTCTACTTTGGAATAATTTGAAAGTAACAAGGAAAATCAAATAAACTGGGAATTTTCCAGATTTGCAGAAATTTTGAAAAGCCACAGAATAGAAAAGAGAATTGAAAAAAAAATTTAAAATTACATTCAGGTACAAAGCAGAGCAAAAGCAGGAAAAAGAGGGAAAATCAAACCAGTTAAATATTTAAAATTATTTTCCAGCCGTTAAAAAAAAAAAAAAATCTTTCAAATTTCCTAATTTAAACCTGAAAGCAGCAGCACAGACACATATAAACAATAAAAGGATAAAGTCCATAGGGATTAAATAAAGAAAATTAACTTTTTACATGAAGTTGCTTGAGGAGAGCAGAAGTCCCCACTCCTGGAATTCTCCTGGCAGTGTCACAGACTTGGGGGTGGCTTTGTGACCACATTCCCTGGCTCCAGGCTGAAGGATGTCCCCAGGGGATGTGGCAGTGTCCCCGTGCCAGGGCGTGTTCCCATGGTGGCACCAGGGGTGTCATTGTCCCACAGGCACAGTTTGGTGGCCCCAGGGCTGGGGTGGCCTCGTGTCCATCCAGGTCCCACATGGGCACAGTGTGGTGGCCCCATGGCTACAGGTACATGGTGGCCTCGTGTCCATCCTCTGGTCCCACACTGTCACAGTTTGGTGGCCACAGGGCTGGTGTCACCTCATGTCCATCCTCAGGTGTCACACTGGTGCAGTTTGGTGACCCCATTGCTGGCATGGCCTCGTGTCCATCCCCTGGTGTCAGTTTGGTGTCACTGTCAGAGTTTGGTGGCTCCATGTCTGGCATGGCCT